AAGTAGAGAGCTCAGGCAAGGCTAACATCCACTATCCTGCCAGAGAGGATTAGTGTTCTAGCAACTGGGTTTTGGCTGCCAGTCTCTTGTGACTTGATTGGTGTGGCTCCTGCCTTCTCTCCTAAGAACTGATCACATCCCGATTAAATGAAAGAAAAGTCAGATGGCAGATCTTGTAAGGCTGAGAGAGCCCATGGGCCCAGGACTTCTTTGAGGCTCTGGCAGAAGCAGCCCTTTTCTTGCCTTTGTGCACTTCACCATTGACCTTCATTCTCCCTCTGCCATAGACCCTTGTCCCCACTGTTGCTGCATTGAATTTTGCTAACTTACACTTTGCTATTTTGTGAGCAGAGAGTCACTTCCCCGCTTTCACTATCATGACAATGAGAATTACATTTGTTTTCTTTTTGCCCACAAGTAACTGTTGAGTTATGCCTTCTAGGAAAGTTGAAATGAGAAACAAAAAAACAGAAGTTTTGAAAATCAAAGAGAAAAAATAATGTTGCCTTTCTTTTACTTCCCTTGGGCTTGTATTAACCTCAGAATGAAGTAGAAATTAATTGTGATATTATGATATATCTGTTTTATATATGTACATATGTGATACATACAGGTTTTATATATATACATATATCTATGTTTTTGTTCATGGTTCTTCGCTCATAAGTCCAATAACCCTTATAATTTGGGAGCACTTTAGGCCTCAGAAAACCGAGTCTTTCTGTCTGACTTCTCTTGCCCTCCTTTCACGTGCTCTTTTGTCTCCCTGGGGCAAGGCCTAGAAGCTATAATCCCCTTCCCCAAGGCAGTTCATAGAAACTAGCCCTGAAGCCTTAATCTTTCTGTCTTGGAGCTGGCCATAAAGAAATTCTCTGATCCACCTTGTCTGGCTGTAGGCCATGGGACCCTCATTCCATAAGGGGTCCTGCTCCATGCCCAACAGGAAGGAACGCTGCACAGAGAGGTCAAGAAGAATCTGAAAAAGATGGGCCTTGCTGGGTTTCCCCACCCAGTCTGTTAGCATTAGATCATACCCTTTCTGCCCA